GGCCGGGTCTCTTATGTATATTGTTAGTATAAGTCACAGCTACTAGTCAATCTACGCCGTCGCCGGTGGCTGCATCTTTACCAAATCGAGTCGATTCGAGGGCCAGTGGACCTCAGTGGAGTACATGGTCCCTCACCTAGGTGGTAGGTACCTACTCCAGAGCCAGCTAGGTAGCTACCTGTATATCTACTTAGGTACCAACTTTAAAGAGCCCTGGAGATAGATATACCTTGGCACTTTTGCCGATGCTGCTTCTCCCGCCGCTATTTCTGCCACTACCGTAATACTAGTAGTAGCGCTAACCAAGCCATTCCAAGGCTAGGGTACCCTAAAGCCACCTAAATAATGCATCCACAACCTTGGAACCCAGCTCGCGTTCCTGTAACTTGAATAGACATTAGCATTTGCTAGTGGCAGGTATGGAATATACCTGTAAGGTTCTATGGAGCACATCCGGGATCCTATGGAGAACCAAAAAAAAAAAAAATAGAACAAAACAGAATAGATACATCAATCCCAAGCCACAGAGCCCGGAACCCGGATCCTGGATCCTGGATCTGGATCCAAGTGGAACCCCAATTCCCATCCCTCCATAAAGTCTCCGTAGGCATACATAGATCAGATCGTGCCTCCCGTCCCGGTACCCGCTCGCTCAAGAGCCCCGCCACCGAACGGATCTAGAATCGGTTAGACTGGACTGGACTAGACTAGACTTGACTAGACTTGTACTACGTACAGTAGACATGGGAGGAAAGGAAGAGAGACAGGTCAATAGTACGAGAATAGCAGGATGGAATCCGATTGGCGGAGGACCCCCCCGCGCGAAGTATAATTGGCTCATCGACGCATTCCTTCGACTATCATTTCTCAACCTTGCTTAGCTAGGGGGGGTTTATTTTGTTTGTTGGGTCGTAAAGCACTCTGTAAAGTCACAGTCTCGGAGTACGCCGGATAACACTACGGAATATGCGCTGATGGACTGCCCACGCTTGATGCGCTGTGCTGCGCTACCTGACGCTTCACCCCTAGGTTGTGTGGGGCGGTACGGAGTACATAAATCGTACTTTTGTCTAGACGAGTAACGCAATATGGGGTCCGGATATGGTAACCCATGGTACGGAGTACATGTGGAGGATCGGCGGCCGGAGGTGGTACTTTTGCTTCGGCAAAAGTCCCTTTTTTGGTGGTCTGGTGATTTCCAAGGTTGGTTTGGGTTGAGTTGACTCATTTGACTCATTTGATGTATGATATAGGATGTACGAAGTGCTCGGTCCACTATTTCAAATGGTTGATCCTTCTTGAATCAGGTTCCTTGAGATTGTTTGCTTCCGTGGCACATTGGGCTGATGTTGACGTGGCATCGCCTTGCTTCGTTGTTTTCTTTTCTTCCTTTCGTTGCCTAGATTAGTGTCCATGGTGAATCCTTGGTGTCGGTGCGGAAGCATGGAGGACCATGGGATATATGTGATTTATAAGCGAGATAGTTCGTTTCCTGGAATCGAAGATCCCGTTCGATGGCTTCACTGGTTGTGATCGCAATGAATTAGATCGCGGGCTACATGAATGGCATAGTTCTCGTCTCCACAGAGCTTGTTTCCATAGGCGGGTCGTAGATGAACAAAGTACCTTGCCTCATTGGCGGGTCATCTTCGGCCCTTCTGTTTGGATGCTCTTTTGGGGCGGTGACGTGCTGAGCAAACATCGTCGTTGTCCTTGTTTGAGCACGGGACTGTTGTTCTCTGCGGGTTGAATCGGTGAGATCCAATATGACTCGAATGTCTCTACGGAAAATAGGGAGGTCGCATATAGTGAAAAAGAAAAAAAAAGAACTGGAGCCTGCCAAGAGTTGTTTAGGCGTTGCATGGTTTCACGTTCAAGGTCAAGCCTAATTCGCGGTGAAGATGACTTGACGATCCACTCTTCTTCGATGCTTCTATCTGGCTTCCATCTAATCAGTTAGGCTGGGCAGCTATAGTTGCTTGTGCTACTGCTGCTGCCAAAATGCAGCGGGGCCAGTGCCAGTCGCTTGGCCTAAAGGAGAAATCTTGCACCGACATGGTCACGATGAAGACCAGCTTTGTAAACCTTAAACGGGCTGGGAAGTAGGCGCACAGACGGAGAGAGTGACAAAGGCACTGGCACTGGCATGACGACTGACGTCTATAGCGAATGTCGCGCTGAAACTCTGAAACTCCGATGCACACGAGCCCGCGGCCTGTGAGCGAGCATCACACCGACAGGGCTGCACCGCCAAACTGCCGACATCGTCAGTTTTTTTTTTGGTTCCTATTCTTATGGTAGAGGGCTGAGACCCCGTCAGATGACGGGCAAAGAGTCGGTCGGGTACGTGTCTGCACGTATCTGGATGTACCCAAAGTACCTCAGCCAGTTAAGTTGAGCCCGATGCTGGGGGTTTGAGCCCGAACCCGGGCACTGCCAGGGCTCAACGGAGATATGGTATAACTTGCGATGCGATGCGGTCAAGATAGAATAAAAAACAGACCACGGACAACGGCGCAGGGACAGCAAGGACAACAGGAAATCAGGGTATAGATCAGTAGTTCCACGTGGTTTGGAAGATGCAACGTTACGGGGTGTTCTTGATAGTGAGGTGGATAATTGCTCCGTACAGAATGATTGGCAGCAACGAAAAGAGACAAGACGGACGGAGATAACTGGAATTTCGTTCAGGCGGTCTATCCGGTATGAGGGGTGACGAATGAGATGCTGCATCTACACTGCGACCTTGTCACCTTTTTTTTTGGCTTCCCATCACCTACTCGAGGAACAGGGATGCGCAGCACCGCAATGATGCTGGGATGCACCGAGATGCAGGAATCGGGCGTGGATCACCTGGGATGAACCTAACCCAGCTGCCCGGGCCCAGCGACGCCACTAGATGGGAGGCGTCACCTTTCCCCCCCTTTTCTCTTTTTCTTTTTGGCTTAGGTCAGGTTCGGGGAAGTTCGTTTATTCTCCATCGCATCCCATGCCAACCCTTTAGGGGTCAACCTAAGGGGGAAGAACCGGATAGTAGATCGGTTGGCGCGGAAGGCAAAGTGAAAGGCCCCGATTGGCGCAGGAGGCGTTGGAGTGTCGCAGGGAGAGATCCTATTAGTTCTCTGAAAGGGCGGGTGGATGGGAGGGGCAAAAAGAGGGTCGAAGAGGGTCGGGGGGGGGACACAGATCACGCACAGGCACTGAGACTGACATCACCCAGGACTGGTCTGTGGGCAGAATACCCTGTACCATACAGTACATAGAGTAGTAGTAATGACCAATAGGAGAGAGTGGATATGCCAACTGCAGGTTAGGCGGACCGCTCAGCCGAATCCAAGGGGAAAAGTGGTGGAAGGATGTGAGTGGTGGAAGAGAGAAGAGAAGCGGAGGAGAAGTTCAGCTTGGAGAGAAGTCGGTGAGGAGGAACTCGTGACGGAAGCAAACAAACATTGGAAGCATCGGTAAATGATTAATAGGGAATTAAATGAGTATTACTAAATGAAGAATGATTTATTTTATTAATTTTTATTTTTAATTGATTTTATTCATTTATTTTAATTTAAGAATTCTGGATTTCCTTCGATCATTCCAGTATATAAAGGGGTCTCCTTCCGAGCCGCAGACATTTTTGACATGAGCAGATCGCCATTCAAATTGAAGAGTACTTCTGAATCTATTCTTCAACTTACTTGACCCCTTGACCTCTTCAAGTTCTCTTGTATTCACTCTACTCCCTCGAGTGTACCACTGCACACACACACTCCCACTCTACTCCCTCGATATCCATCACCACACACACACACACACACACACCATGGACTCTGTCAAGACAAAAGGCGTTGCCCCAGAAAAGAAGGACGACAAGCCAATGAGTGTCGAGCAATATCAGCGTCGATGGGAGCAGTTGATGGACGATACAGCAAAGCAAATCCAAAAGATTCGAGGTAGGTGACATCTGATCTATCACCGTTACTCAACCCCTCAAAAGCCACCCCCAAACCTTGAATCTTCACGCTGACCATCCCCTTTTAGACGATGAGCAAGCAAGGAAGGCCGCCCAGACCTCGCGATAATTTCTTCTCATCACATCACTGCGTCAATGTGTCACTGCGTATCGGTTGATCGGTTGATCCGGAGTTCAAGTTGGAGTTGGTTCTGTGGTTCTGTTCTGGAATCCACTGGGGGCATGGGCATGGGCATGGCATTTCATTCCATTTTATTTCGAATTCACCCGGTTGTCTCATATTCCCATTTGTTTGCTTTTTCTTCTCCTGTCAATATTCCACTATTTTATCATTATCATCAGTCAAAGCGGGACACTCGTTCGGGTAAGAGGAGTTCTGTTTAGCAATGCAGTGGCAGTGGCAGTGGCAGCAACGCCACCATTTGATTTCATATCACTTTACTTCACTTCACTTCACTTCACTTCATCTCCTTGCCGATCGCCTTGAGGTATGCGTCAACATTCCCGAGATCCGCTGTCACCCAACTTTCAACGGCGCATGAAATGCAGCGGGTGATCAGCCCTGCCTCAGCGGTGTGTGTCGCGATTGACAGCATTCCTTGCTCCATACTTCGTACTGTTGGCCGATCCAGCTAGAGAGGAACCGATTAGCAATGGGCCGTGCCATTTCCTGCTTTGGGCGTGACGATCTGTCAGGGATCGCCGGACGTTGACCGGTATGCAAGGAGGGACACGCGTATAGCGCGGCTAGGAGAAATTCGACAGAGCTGAGCAGTGGACAGAGTAAGCAGTGGAGCATTGACGTTAGAAATCCGACAGAGTGGACTCGATGAAAGGAGAGAATCGAGAGTTGACAAAATCAAGTAAGTTGACACTTAACATGGTAGTGTGACGAGTAACTAGTCAAGGTAGAGTTGTACCTTAGGGTAGTTAGTCGGTACGGAGTAGTTGCGGAGAGAAGGTTGAGGTTGAGTGGACCCCGCGCATTCCGCACTTTCCATCAACACTCACCACCACCACTACCACCACCACCACCATGGCTGACCAGGACCCTTCACCCGCAGACATTGCCAAGCGTGACCTCGAGGAGAAGGAGCGCAAGGCTCGTGAAATTGCTGAACAGGCTCAGCTCCCCTACAAGTGGACGCAGACTATCCGCGATGTCGACGTGTCCGCCCCAATCCCCGCCAACATCAAGGGTCGCGACATGGAAGTCGTTCTGACCAAAACAAAGCTTAAGGTCGCTATCAAGGGCCAAGCACCTATCATTGAGGTACTCCTCCAGTTGTATCAGCTGTCCCTGCCCAAGATCCGCAGCTAAGCTACTCAACCATACTGTCAATTCAATGCTAACGTTATGCCACTACAGGGCGACTTTCCTCACTCTATCCTCGTCGACGAATCATCCTGGACCCTCGAGACAACCCCCACTCCCCTGGCAAAGAGGTGAACATTCATCTCGACAAAGTCAACAAGGTCGAGTGGTGGCCGCATGTTGTGACCGGCGCGCCCAAGATCGACGTCACTAAGATCCAGCCGGAGAACTCCAGCCTCAGTGACCTCGACGGTGAGACGCGTGCCATGGTTGAGAAGATGATGTACGATCAACGACAGAAGGAATCAGGCGGTATGACTAGCGACGAACAGCGCAAGGCGGACCTGTTGAAGAAATTCCAGGCTGACCATCCTGGTGAGTGATGAATTACGGGTTACCGACAGGAAACGTGAGCATATTCAAAGGTGCATTGCTAACTAACGGGGCTACAGAAATGGATTTCTCCAATGCGAAAATGGGCTAGAACCTCTATTGAAGTATAAGTATCAATGACTGCATCAGTACATGAAATAACGAGAATGACATAGAATCTTCATCACTATTTCCTATCCTTCTTCATCTATGACATAACATGAATATTGTGTACTATTATAATGATTATTCCTACTATTTCATCCCCACTTCCACATTTCCACATTTCCGCACTTTCTGCTGCTCTTCTCTGAATACGAGAACTGCCCGTTTCGGGTCTAGCGTGCCCGTGACTCGAGGCGATGAAGTGCGTTGTGTCTTCCCCACTGCATCTCTCTTTCTCAATCTTCCTTAGGCCAATGGATTGCTTCGTTTTATTCCTGGAATCCATCCCTCGGATGAACGCCTGGTCCCCACTCGATCGACCCGACTCACCGGTCGCACCTGTACTGGGCACCATTGCCGGCGTCTGATCTAGATCAACATCGGATACCATATCGCCTACATTGGATCAGTTTAAAGCCTTCAGCTCCAATCCAACCCGACCTACCCGGCCGGCCCTAACGGCCCATTTCTACGATTCTGCATCGGTCTAGATCTCTGTGACTCATCCATCAAATCCCGCAAAATGCGCCACAGGCAGCTCGACTCATCGGGACCCATGCAAGGGCATCGGAGCGTGTTCCGGGTGCCCAACTATAAACCTCAACCAACCGTCTCAGATGAACCATGTGAAGACCCAGTTGAACGGGTCTATCACTCCCGCCGGACGCACCGCAAGTCCCGCGCCGGCTGTGCTGCCTGCAAGCAGCGTCGAGTCAAGGTATACTGGAAACATACTCCACCCCCCTAGCCCTATCCTAGCCCCGCGTCGATCTACCAGACTCGTGGGGCGTCCGTTGATTCCATCCTAGTGCGATGAAACAAAGCCCGACTGTCTCCGCTGCCAAAAGCATGGCGTCGAGTGTAACTACTCGGCTGCGCCTCCGAGCCGACCGACCAGACACATTGTCAATCGGTTCCTCGAATCTCGGCCTAGCCTGCTATCCGTAGACTCACTAGCCTCGTCTATGTCTCTCCTAGTGGTGGCTGAAAAGTTAGATGAGCTACTACGACCGGAAACTTCATCCCCCTCAAGCTCAGAATCATCCGCCTCGCCGCCTTCGAGGCGTGCGCTGGAAGCCTTACATCACTTTCACCGCGTCACCATCGAGAGCGGCCAAGCGAATTCAGAGCTTGGCGTAATGATGGGAAAAGTGACCCGGCTTGCATTCGAGGTAAGATGAATTAGGCTACGACCGAAACCCAGCAAACCTCCTTCCTAAATCGACAACGAAACCTAATCGCACTGTACATAGTCCCCGTTATTGATGCACAGTCTTATTGGCGTGGCTACTAGTCACCTCTGCGGCGTTCTGCCGAACAATAGCTCATACCGCGTCGCGGAATCGTACCATTGGCAACAAGCGATACAAAAGTACACAAAGGAAGTATCATCCGGGCCCACGGCGGAGAACATGGACCCGTTATACTCCGCATGCATCCTGATCACGATTCACAGCTTCGCCATCGAAGAATTCAATCCCCGCTCCTCGTTTGTTTTCTCGGATGATCCCGCGGACCTGAACTGGTTGCGTCTGCAAGGGGGACTACGCTACCTACTCGAACGCACGAGGATGTGGATGCCGGATAGTATGTGGTGGGCATACTTCATGCACGCCCACGACGAGAATCTCAATTACGAAGATGATCGGCCTGGCCGGGTTGATCTAGACCCGGACTTTGCGGATCTCTGTCATGTCGATGAAGGTTCTACTGTGGGGAATAATGCGTATCTTTGGCCGCTGAGGATGTTGACTAATTTACTTGCTCTTGAGCGGACGAAGCGGAATCATCAGAAGTACTATAATTGGATGGGGAGGTTGGAGCCTGAGTATTATGATTGTTTGTTGAGAAAGGAGCCGCCGGCGCTGATGCTTTTGGCTTGGTGGCTTGCGCTCATGGCTGTTGTTGAGGAGTGGTGGATTGAGACTCGCATTCGTTCGGAGTGCACTGCCATCTGTATGAAATTGGAGGATAGTCGGGATCCTGTCTTGTTGAGATTGTTGGAGTTTCCGGCCGAGTCTTGTGGGTATCTTCTGAGGCATGTGCAAGAGCGGAATGTTGTAGAGATGTTGGAGAATCCGTTGTTGGCGTAGAGCATGAAGTGATGAATGACGAAATTGTTAGATAATCAAGGTCAAGGTTAGGTGAAGTATATTGATTTTAACTAGGTACACTACATCGGGAAATACATTGAATAACTGCCAGTGGCTTCATATTATACAAGTACCTCCCTGGGTAGGCATTGTACCTAGGTATATCTAACCAGATGATCACAAGATCAACTCCTCGAGTATACTGGCTCATTTCCTATCACTTAATTCGAGGAACCTCAAGTTCATCCTATAATCAATTATCAGTAAAATTCACAATCACGTATCAATAGATACGCAAAGCTCACCTCCAACTCCCCGGGAATAATCAATCCTTTAACGGCCCAACTCTCAACCTTGTTATATCCCCGCATAAACTCACGATACTGCGGCGCACCAGGCCGAAGAACATTATCCGCCACAACCAAAGCACCAGATCGAAGAAGACCCAAGCTCTCACAGACCTGGAAATCAGACAGATAGAGATCTTCCACATGATCCAAAAACAACAAGTCCATATAATCAAGAGTACCCTCAGAATGAAGCTTTCGCAACGAATTCGCTGCCGACCCCACAACGACAGTGACAATATCACTCAATCCAGCTAGATCAATCAAATTCCTCGCAATATCCGCAATGACCGGATCGAATTCTAGACTGAGGAGTTTCACAGCTTAGTCTAGCTTGGCACTGCCAGCTTGACGCATAGTGTGTCCGAAACAGATGGCAAACTATCCGATATACCCGCCTAACTCAACGAAGACAGATGGCTGTTCTTGAGCAATGATATCACAAACCTTGGCTGCTTTATCACTGCCGATATTTATGAGGAAATCCTCTTGCGCGGCGAACTCGTCTATGACGGCTAGGATTGCGGGTGGTGAGTTGCGGAATTGAGGGAGAGAGGGGTGGTTGTATATATATTTTAGGAGGGCGGCTTCGCGGCCATCGTGGGATTCAGTGTAGTCCTCGTTGGCGTATTTGGCGAGGGAGGGATATTTGGTGATATGGTCTTGAGAGAACATGTTGATTTTTAGGATAGAAGAATTCCAAGGGAAGTTGTAAAGTTGGGTGTGAAGGTGAAGAGTAGTATAGTTCCGCTTAAATAGTGTGGGGCCAGCCAAGAGGGCCAACTTTGGACCGGTTGTACATACTACCTAGGTAGGAGAGTGCAGAGAAATTCAGTTACTAGTAACTTGAATGCAAACAATTGGAACTTTGCATGTAGTGTCGTTGTGAGTTATAGTAGTGAATCACTTGATCGGACTCCGTCGGATTTCCGACTGTTTCTCATACATCTAGTACTTAGTTAGTACACGAATACAATCTCTATTTTCTAGTACGCCACACAGTATATTCCTAAGTGATCGTATCCTTACAATAGTCTACTGGTATTAATAGTGTTGCCACAGTTATAATAATTATATATAATACAACTTGAAGCAGTTAATTCTTTATTCCTGAAGGACTCGTAATCACCGCTGTCATTCCTGCTGACTCACCCACCCAATCCAACCAATCAGAAGACGCGGGGAATTTGGATGCCTGCGGCTGCGGTGGTCTGCGGCTGATTCCCTCCCCTCTTTCTCTTTCAATTCCTCGCTCTTCCTCTCTTCTCTTCAGACTATCCAAATATCCATTATTTCGGAGCCTGTTACCCAAGGCTCTCTTTGAGCCACGGTTCCCCATTATCGGAGGAGAAAGAGGCGGTTTTATCTTCCCAATTTCCATCACTACGCATTCTCCCGCTCCTATCGGAGATGCTCTAGCTCCGCGCCTCGCTGCGACACATCTCTTAGGACCTTTCTTTCTTCTCTCCGTCCTCTGAATCGACATTGTGTCCGACCTATTTACGATACGACACTTTACTACCTCCTTAATAAAAACAGGAGAAGAAAGAATCTTCCATCATGTCGTGGTTCGCCAACCTGTGCGGCTGCTTTACTCGCAGCGACGCAACTCCACAACCCTCCAACCCCGAAATGCAAAGTCGTTCTCCAACTTACACCCGCAATGGAGTCCAAACTGGCCAGTTCACTCTCTCCGACGAGGGTCACTTCATCCGAACAGATCATGGTCATGGTCATGGGCACGGCCCTCCTCCCGCTGACTCGGAGGTTGGGGGCTATGCCACCGTGGTCCCACTGCCACAATACACTCCCCGCCCCATGAGTGTAAACGAGAAGACCTTGGAGTCCCATCTCCGGGATCCTTCCGTGTCCTCTGATTCCAATTCCTACGATCAAGACGAGAAGAATCCTCATCTATACAATGAGGATCTTTCATCCGATGCCTCTTCTGTCATCTCATATCCGAGCAGTTATGGAAATACCTCTACTGCAACACGAGAGACCCCTCCACCTCCATATTCTCCTCGCCAATCGGCACAGCTCACCCGAACTCGCTCTGTCTCTCTATACTCCATGTCATCGACGAGGGGTATTACCATCAACCCACCGCCCATAGCGAGACTGAATGGTGCGCGATCAACGGGACCACCTCCATCCGACGGAGACGACCAATCTATTCGTCGACACCGCCGACTATCCTGGGAAAGTCGGTGATAGTCTGCGACTCATCATCTATTCCCCTTTTCTCTGCCATTTGTCGACGCTGGTAGCCGATGAATGGGAAACAGCCGAACTGGACCGAACAACATGGGGCTACAAGGACCCCGCCATTAATTTTTGCTTTGCTTTTATTCTATTTCCTGCTCTCTTTTTGTTCTCCATATAAGAACTTGATGGCATACGACTTGACGATAAAGAAATCCCTCTGGATTTCGTTACGACCTGGGAGGATGGGATGTTTAGGATACTTAATACTGGGCGCTATTTGGGTACAGGTCAACCGGACATATTGGACTACTGCATCAAAGTACACTTGCACATATGTTGCATCATAATAAACCTTTGAAACTTTTCTTCATATCTTGATGGCGTATATATTCCCGCCTACTAGTAGCTTTGAGATGGCGTAAATTCTGCTCCGGAGGTGTTTAGTATTGGCAGGGTAGCCTCATAAAACTACTAGTAGTACTATTCCTTGTGACTAAAACTTTGAAGTTCAAGTTGCAAACTGGCTCTCGTGAACTCCAGCCTGAGGGCTTTCATTGACCAAAGCCTAACTCCCAACCTTGCAAGAGCCATGGGCCCAACTAATACTAGTACTAAACCCAGCTCAGCCCATCGGTTGCTTGACATCGGCTATAAGCCCTGGAGAGAGTCCTCGAAGCTTAGATGATTCAAGTTCATTTCAACATGGAAGCAGAGCCTCAGCGGCTCTTCTCAGATTCAAGGTTACACCCGCCGGAAGCGAACAGAAATTGTAATACAATAAGCTCGTCCAATCTTAGTCTTCCTAGAAGATTTCTCGTTATCTAGGACGTGGCAATCGCCAGCCTACAGCACATACGTGCTTGAGACTCTTCCCATATCTAAATGAGGCGATCTTTTCTTCGCCTTATCTAGGCGGCCTTCCTGCAGCTTGCCACGATATGCATTGTTTTGACTGGGCGGAGCCTGCAAACCCCTGCAAGCCATGAATTTCATCCTTGAAGTACATGCACGTATGGTTTGCGGGCGCCTGTAGATCGAGAACACGTTGCTTTCCGGGGTATATGTATGTGTTTTCAAAAACACGGAATTCATCGGCTTTGAAAACTAGTGATAATTGCTGTAAGCATTCTGCATTCTAATCCTAGGAAATGAAGCAAACTCCGAGTCGGTACCCCGGATTGGTCTGAATAGACGTGGAGGGAAATGCATCACCACGAACTTGAACCCCCTCGAAATCTGGCAGAATGGTATAAATTGATGAACTTCTCCACGGATTCGGGAGAGTTCTACTGCAATCAATTCGTTGATATCTTAGTCTTATTTCTAGGCGAAGCAAACCTTCCGAACTACCCTTCGAAATGGCATCCCAAGTCAAGCCTCAAGTCGTGCAAACTAATGGAGCGACCGGCTCCAAGGAGCGCAACAGGATCTTCGAAAACGCAATTCGAAGTATCAAGCTCTTTGCCGAAAACCCTGATTTTCAACAAGCATCTGACACATTTGACGATATTGATGACCAGAAAGAGGAGATAAAGTTAATGACCCAAGAGATTTCCAATCTCCGAGAGGATCTCAAGGCTCAAAAGGAGAAGAAAAAAACCACAGTTGAGGAGATCATGCTGATCAACAAAGATCTTGAATCCGAGCTCAACCAAAGTAATGAAAAGTATCAGTCTCTGGAAAAATTACTGAAAGAGAAAGGAGAAAGTCTGGCGAAGAGTTCTCAGCAGGTGGAAACTATTCAGAGAAGTATGATGGCTCTCAGCTCCGACCTTTCGAAGAAGAAGGCGAGTGTTGAGCAATCTGCTCGGGATATCACTGTTTTAGAGGAGAGCTTGAAGGAAAAGGATAACATGATTGACGGATTGAAAAGTGCTGGAACCAAGTGTAGAGACATGCTTGCATCGGAAAAGAAGCGATCCGATGGACTGGAGAAAGACAGAGCGTCTCTACACCAGGCACTTAAACAGTCTGAAGTGCGGTTGCAGAAATTGGAAAGCTTTGCTCTCACTCATACTGAGACAGATGAGGACTCGATGTATGTCTAACGCCAGTGTGATCTTGAAAATGACTGACTGTTTCATCAGGGTTGACAGCTTCTCGGAACTCTGGGACTTTGCCGCGGTGGAGTTGTATACTGTTCTAAAACAGGACCTTGGCGGCGAAGCTTTGAATGTATGTTCTATCAGTTGATACGCGGCTCGCATACTAATATCTCCCAAGAATAGAGAGTCCTGGGAAAATCTTCGTCAAAAAGCTCTGACTGTTGGAGATAATCCCGTACCTCTGCCACTTTCAAATTCCACCGCTGCCAAGGGAATGCGTCTAGCCATAATTCTATCTGTGTTGTCGCGGGAGATCGATAAAAACATCTTTCAACCAAACTATCTTATTCCTGATGAACGACTTGACTTTAAAAAAATTCTCAGTCACCTCGCAACAACCGAGAAAGAGAAGGAATCGTTCTGCCGCTCCATGCTTCTTTCAATTAACCTGGAATCCCAACAAAGGTCTCTACAGAAACGAGTCCAATCCGTTATTCAAAACGTATCATTCTATATTACCGGATTACTCTCCGAATACCAGACCCGCAACTTTCTAGAGCGCATTCGCAGTATATGTCAAAAGGCAATTGACGTCTGGCTGCCGATTCAACGTGCGCAGGCCAAATATGAATCAGACTTCGTCCCTCGCGAATGGGATGATGAAGAATGGTGCCTTTTTGAATTCCCGGGTGATAATGATAAATTGAAACAGAGTGAAATTGATACCAAGGCATCGGATGATGTTTTGCTAACCATCTTCCCGCGCATATCACTTGTTGTGGGAAATACCCGTCATCCTTTGACTACGGTTATACAGCTTAGGAAATCGCAGAATCTATGCCTAAGTGCGGTGGGTGAACTTAATCCGCCTTCTACTAGCCCCACGACTGGTCAGGTATCTTCGTCTCGAGGACGACGGAAGTCTATTGTTCCAAATGGAAATGGAAATGGGGATGCGAATGGGAATGGGAACCGACCTAACGGAAAGTCTTTTTTAGGAAGATCTTGATTCTGAAAGTGAGGAACTGGAAGGTATGGAAATGATGGTATTAGTTTGAAATTGTATGAAGGAATTGCAGGAGACTTGTATTATTGAATTTAAGTTGTTAATGCACATGTTTCTGTTTCTGTTTCTGTTTTATAGATCATGCTGCTGCCTCAGGCACCAAGTGATAAGATAAGGCTGAGTCATCAGGTACCCCGCCGAATACTTTTTTTAATTTTTTAATTTTTTACAATCTTTTTTTTAACTGAGCAGACTAAATTGAAACTTTCTCCTCTCATTACCACTCTTCCCACTCGTTTCCACCCACACAACTCACCATGACAATCGAAGCGCCCCAGCCAGTCGAACGAACCGTCGAAGAAGTGACGCAAAATGTCCAACCCCCCCACCGTTGAACCCTCGCGCTCCCACGACCCCTCAAACAACATGAAGCGCACCGACCCCTTCCAATTCGGCTCGCGCTTTCTAGAAAAGGGCGACGATGTCTACGAATTCAACGCATGGGACCACGTCGAGCCAGATGACGAATTCAAAGCCTTCGCCGAAGATCAATACGAGAAGCAGCGCGCGGCGCCGGTCTCGGATTTCGACCAGCGCCGTTTCAACAATGACCCCGCGAAGTGGTGGGATCTCTTTTATAAGAATAATACGGACAATTTCTTCAAGGATCGGAAGTGGTTGCAGCAAGAGTTTCCGGTTTTGGAGGAGGTTACGCGCAAGGATGCGGGGAAGAAGGTCGTTTTGGAAGTTGGTGCTGGTGCGGGAAATACTGCCTTCCCCTTGTTGAGGAATAATGAGAACGAGGAGCTGGAATTGCATGCTTGTGATTTCTCCAAGTTTGCGGTTAAGGTTATGCGCGAGAGTGATCAGTATGACACTAAGCATATGGTTGCGGATGTGTGGGATGTGTCGGCTAAGCCGAGTGAGGAGGGTGATTCTTTGCCGCCTGGGTTGAGTGAGGGTTCGTGTGATGTTATTGTTCTCATTTTCATTTTCTCGGCGCTTGCGCCGGAGGAGTGGGATCATGCTATCCGCAATCTTTACCGTTTGCTTAAGCCTGGTGGTCGGATCTTGTTCCGTGATTATGGTCGTGGGGACCTTGCTCAGGTTCGCATGAAGAAGAATCGCTATCTGCAGGAGAACTTTTATGTTCGTGGTGATGGGACTCGTGTCTACTTCTTTGACCCGGAACAGTTGACCCAGATGTGGAGTCAATGGACGCCGGAGGGTGGGATCCAGGTGGATCTTGAGAATCCCAAGGCCGAGTCCAATGGCTGCTTTGAAGTCGTGCATCTGGGCGCTGACCGTCGACTTATTGTCAACCGTGCTTCCAAGGTGAAGATGTACCGCTGCTGGCTGCAGGGTAACTTCCGGAAGCTTGAGACTCCCGTCACAGAAAAGAAGGATGCTGAGGCTTGAAGAGGATTGGTAAAATCTTCTCATCACTAAAGTCTCATATATCAAGACCCTGTATATCAAGTGAGGGCTCACGAAAGGCCGGCCCGTCAAGTCTCGCAGGTCCTATACCATCGCCGAATTGGCCACAACGGCCCTGTTTCACGTGCATTTTAGCGCACGGCATACGCGCCATGCATGGCATTGATACTGCTTCAAGTTCTGGGGATGGTGACAAAATCAGTTCAAGTCGCGACATCTAGACATCCGCCGCGGCAATCTCCACCCATCGTCGCTATATTCAACCCTTTTACAGCGCACCTAAAATTTCATGAGAAACGAGAGGCGTTTTAGATTACCATAGACCTTACATCAATTCATCACGATTGCCATATTTGGCTACTACTACTGGAATACGAAAGAAAGTTTGTAGCACTCAAAACAAGTACAATTGTACAGCAAGCTAAGCTGTAGAGACAAAAATAAGCCCGAAAGCGCAAGTAATGCGATGCAACTAGATACAAGAAAGGCAAAATGTGCAGGATCCCACCTCTAATAGCCAAGGGCGAGAGTGACCTCGACGGTTAGGGATCAGTCTTTGAAGGAAAGCGACTTCCTCAAGACAGAGGCAATAGACAGTGAAACAAGTAAATAACTCCACCCATGCGGCAAAAGACAAGGCCGAGGCTGGCCAACTTTTTGGCTCTGCAAAAAGTTCTATAAAGAAACTGTATACCGCCCGTAGGGGTATGCGGACGTAGTCCAGGTTTTCATGTGTATTCGAGAACGGGACTGGTGATTTCCATCTTCGTTTATCGTGAAAGCATGTACAGTTGAAGAGAACGCTGGTTTTGAGTACAGTGATGTTGAGCCACTGTGTATTAAGACGTCAAGTTGGGGCATTGAGCCTGGGCACGCAGGAAAGCGTTTGAGAAGAGGTCCTGCATCGCGCAATAATGAAAAAGAATTCCACCCAGGACTGCCACGTGCCAAATGTTGTGGCTGCCGCCAACGTAGTCAAAGAGGCCGGGCTTCCAGCGCTCGGGAATCTTTGAGGCATAGACAAGGGCGCCGACGAAATAGACGAGCAAGCTCTTCAGGAGTGGGGCATAGAAATACGCGCACCACTCGAAACCACGAGTATAGGAAAGTTGGGCGAGCGGGGTGAATCCAGTGAGGGCTAGGGTGACGTAGAAGGCGACGCGAGCCCAGGCCATATCGTGGCGGTTGAAAGTAGGGTGCCAGGGAAGGATGATGCCTCCGACGCCCATTGACATTGTGAGCAAAATGTATGTCCAGCGTGAGTAGGGCTCGCAGTAGAAAGCAGTATACTCAGTAGTGACGATGGAGGCGGCCACGAGCATAGAGATTCCAGTATAATCAACGCACGCAAATCGTTCCATCAAGGACTGGGAGGCGATGCTGTTCATGGTGTGCCAGACGGTACTGCAGACCAGGCACTTGCACGCAGCAAAGAAGAAGACGGCGGCGATCATGATATCGGCCTTGGTGCTCAGGTGGAAGTTGGTGTGGAGCGGGTAAAAGTAGAAGGCAATCGCTAATACAATGACGAGACCAATGACGTGGGACCAAATATTAAACATTTCGTTGGAGAAGGTGAAGACGGACGAGACGCACTCCACTTTGGATGTCGTGAAGCGGTATCCTTTCAAGATGTGTGGATTCACTCGCCAGGGGTCGGGAAGGTCGGCATAAGTGATCAACCGTTGCTCCTGGGCCAGCCGAATAGCCTCTTCGATGTTCTCTTTCAGTGCGTGACGAGCCCGGCGCGCACGCTCCATGCCCTCATCGACGACCTCTCGGGCGTGGCCGAGCTTGGTGTCCATGGCTTTCCATCCGTCGTCCAAGGTGCCGTAGATGCCGCGATCCCGCACGGCATGTGCCTTCAACTCCAGTTCGGATAAAAACGACTCCATTAGGCGGACACTTGCCTGAGCCTTCTGCTCAAGAGTCTCCTTGGTGGCCAAGGCATCATTATATCGGTCCTCCAGGGTCTCGACCAAGATCTTGGCACGTTTCTTGCCGCATCCCATCAACTCACCCGAGGCAATGGAACACTGATCGCGCACGGCCTCCAGGGTGGCATAACCGCTTCGTAGCCGAGAGTCGATTTGAACCATGTGAGACTTGCGATATTGTTCGATCCAATGCATTCGGCGTTCAAGCTCAGCAAGGAAGAGTTCGACCTGGAGTATGACTGGTTAGAAGTCGCCCCTTACTGGTGGTCATGCTAGTCGCACTGGATGCAGTGATCACACTGATCATACCCCCAGGCGCATGATAGGGTAATCAAGAACTTACCCTAATGAATACGGTGTCGGAGTCTTGGTAGTCACAGGATAATCGTCTCGGAGCATGGTAGGAATGTCGGCGGCGTCGGTCTCGGAGGAGGGTAGTCTCCTCCGTTGGGGTGGCGGTTGAGAAAGCAACCGCCTCGGAAGATGATTCCACAGTCATTGAAGATGATGAGCAGGCCATCCCGAGAGGGAGAGAGAGAGAAGGGGAGAAGACGAAGTCGAATCAGACCCAGGGGAGCGATGTCGGCAAGGCGGCAAGGCGGTACCTTATGCCGGATTTTGTGTTGAGAAAAGGTGGGCCCGGTGGAGGGTGAGGGAGGTACAGAGGGAGAGTGAAAGGAATATTCAATATTCCTTGAGTTGTTGTAAAGGAGTGAATTAATTAAGGGAGAGGATTAAAAGAGGGGTGGCCAGTCCATACTGTAGTATAAAAGAGGGGAGTGGAAGAGGAAGAGAAGTTCTTCCCCCAACGAGAGGAAGTCTTCACATGTCACATGTGAGGAGATCGGCCCGCCTGATTTGCCATCAACTTTAGGAAACTTCTCTTCAACCATTCCCTTGAACGTGTTGCTTCTCCACTTCTCCAATTACATTGGATTAAACTACCATCTCCTTCCCTCCTACCTTATCCGATCTCTCTTTCGCCACTCTCCACCTCCACCTCCCCCGCCATGGCTATCAACGAGATCATCTCCGATCCCTCATTGTTACCGGTGCTCACCACCTGCGCCGAGACTCTCGCCCAGTGCCAACAGCTCATTACCCAGCTCAACCCCGAGACGACCCCCTCCGATCCCACCCAACTGCACGACCTCTCATTGGCCGTTTCCAAACAGCAAAAGGTGCTCTTTGCCCTTCTCGCCCAACTCCGCGGTCAGAATCGGGACGCCGTTTTCCGTGTACGCGATACAAAGCAAGCCACCGCGGAGGCCCGACAGGAGATCGACCGTCTCCACCTGCAACTGCAGAACTTGTACTACGAGCAGAAACATCTCACTGGCGAGATTGCGGCATGCGAAGCCTATGAGTAAGGATCCCATGCATCTACACCTACCCCTTCACCTACCCCTTCACCTACCCCTTCACCTAACCTTTCACCTACCCTTTCACCTACATGTATGTACATGTATGTACATGGCTAATGTAGTACTCTCTCCGTGCAGTCACAAATATCTGTCACTACCACTTATCCCCGTCGAAGAATTCCTACAACTTCACCCGGAACATCAAGACACCAATGATCATGAATTGATGATCGCCCGCATCAACCATGAGCACTCGGAGCGAGAGAAACTTGAACAGGCGCGCCAGGAATTGCTCAAGCGCAAGCAGGCCTTGATCGCCGAGAACAAGAAGCGGAAGGATGACCTCGCCAATTTGGATAAGGATCTCGAAAGATTTATCGATGTACGTATTTGGTGTCCTTTTGGAAAGTATCAAATAGCTAACGCTTCTTCACCTCAGGCTGCTAAACCGATTCAAAAGATCTTCGAGAAGGAGTACTAATGTTATTGTTGAACTCGGGCTGGTCGGTTGACCGTTACATCTAACAGGCGTTATTGGATAGGAAAAAAGATACCCGGCATGAAAATATAATCTACCTTGCATATACTACCTAGGCAGTACCTATTTTTGATGCTTGCTCAGCGCGTTTCTCGCTTGAGATATTCCAGATTCCCATAGATCCGAGTACGCCTGCATTCGTATGTCCAGATGCGTATGCGTACTAGTATACATGCACACTAGGCTAAGCAACACCGTAAATACCCTAATATATGGGAAACTAGTAAAGGAGAAAGAGATATTGAGATTGAGATTGAATGAGCATGAAAACTGCCAAAATATTAGTCAATGTGTAGCCAGAATCAATAGAATCAATACTCCGAGGTTATGTAGTACTTGGTTGTTGGTAGATCACGTACCTCCTTGTCCGCCTTCTCCAACTTCAACACAACATCTCCTCTCCACCACTCCAACCCTCCTCCTTCCCTCCCTCTCGCTCTGGCTGTGGTCATCCAGAGCACAAAGCATGCCCTCGTCATGACCGCCAAATCCGGAGACCCTGTGTCTCCCACGGCCGACGCCTCCACTCCCTCCACTCCCTCCAAGTCCACCCAGCGCGTCCCCGCCCCGGAATCCCCCCCAGGCTATCCAAACGCGATTCCGAGTCATTGCAGCCTTCTGGGCCGTCATAATTTTTCTGGGCTTTCCGATATGGTGGCAGACCACCTCGATCTACCGGGCGCATCTCCCCATCCAAGAGATGGTCGATTGGGCCGATGGCAAGGTAAGGACACCTTGTGCATCGCAACAACTAGTATCCCCGGAATTCTGACACCCTTCCCTCCAGACATGTCGCCCCGTCTATCCCCTTGAGATTCAAGTCGTCGCACCTTCATTACAGTTGCCTGAGTCTCAGCATCTACTCCGAACCACCCAGCATACTCTTGACGATCTGAACGAGTTCGCCGCTCACCATCTCCGTCTCAAGTTGACCAACGATACCAACGGTTCACCTGCACGCGCAGGCAACGACGGGACCGACACTTCATATAGTAACTCGGAAGTTGCACCTGATGTCGCATTGACAGTCCATGTACGTCCGGAGGAAGGCCTTCTTGCTCCGAGATCAGAGCTTCAGCCGCACACCACCCAGCTAGACGTCTTCTACCCACCGAGCCAAATCCCAAGCCCCTCAACCTCCAACCCACCTCTCTCGATCTTCATCGCACAGGAGCTACAGCGCCTCTATGGAGAAGAGAAGGCAACCATCGCGCACATTCTGTCTGGTGAAACAACCGGCCTGGATTCAGCCTCTCCCGAGCTCACAGAGAGCATCAGCAGACGCCTACGACGATCAATGAAATACGCTGAAACATATCACCTCTCATTTTCTCTTTTCACGCCTGGATCCGCGCCATCCTCATGGGATATCGAAGGCGCTGTCCAGGAGTACCTCGCGCCGCTCCTTGACGCCTTCTCACCAATCAGCAACTTCACCATCGACACCCAGGTGCAACTCTACGCCACCTTCTCCCCGATGACGCCGGCCCCAGTCTACGATGAGGTCGAAGCGGCATGGACACTGAAGAAAGAAGACCTGAGCGCATTCATCAATGCCGCAGAGTGGCCACTGAACCCGAGCATCGGCAGCGGACCAACCCTCAACTTCATCCTCTACGTCCCCGACCCATCTCAATCACCCATGATCGTCAAGGAGAACCGCGCTTCGAGCTGGATTGTCCCACAATGGGGTGGCGTGTTCCTACTCAACCCACCACTCGCACAGGGTCAGACTAGTAATCCTGTCTACCTCGAACAAGATTCGCTGCAGTCGGCTTTCAAGACTTTCTCCCATCAACTCCTCACCCTCCTCGGAACACCCAGCACCCCCTCCTCCCTGCCTCTGCGTCTGCAGACACTCATTCGCGTCCGCGCTGCATCTCTCCTCCTCTCCGCTTCGTCGACCATGGGCTCCTTAGCCCGGTTGACAGAGTCTCTCCCCTCCATCCCCATCCCAGCAAACGTAGCGTCCTCGGTCTCCACGACCCTATCCCATCTCTCTTCTACATGTTCCCATCTCCGCGAGGGTCGCTTCAATGCCGCTCTGGCTAGTGCCCGAGTCGCGGAGAACGAGGCTGAGCGCAGTTTCTTTGAGAAGACCATGGTTGGTCAGGTTTATTTCCCGGATGAGCATAAGGTTGCCGTTTACCTGCCTTTGTTGGGACCTATTGGTGTTCCGCTGGTGGTTGGTTTGATGAAGGAGGTTAAGCGACTTGTTGCGGCTTGGAAGGCGAGGAAGCGGGTGTAGGTATGGTTAGAATTATAATGCACAATAGTATACTTTCACATAACTTGAGTACTACCAGCCGACTCGGAGTATCAACTGTAGCTGCTTCATACTGCCTAGGTACCTAGTAGTATTCTGACCCCTACCGGAGGAGTCTAGCTACCTAGGTAGGTACCTAAGTAGTAGCTTGTATTCCAACCAACTTGAATTTGAAGGTTTGGAAGGCAAACTTGAAGTAGACAATACTAGTATATCGTTGGATGTACTCCTACCTACTAGTATGCAGCGAAGTGGTACTGCCTACTAGGTAGCGCACGGGGATTTGAACTTGAATATAACCTTCCAAGGATTGAACTCGAATTGAAGGAAATCATTCGATCTAAAGAATGTAACATGGATATCATACTAATACACCAGCAATGCAAAGCTAAATGTGAACAAACACTTTCTTTAACCCATAGATCGGACCAGCCACACCCACGAAATGCATACCACGCCATCTACTTCTCCTCCGAAACCTTATACGACGGATTCCCCTTGCCATCACTAAATCCTACGTTCTTCATCAGATCTGAGAAAGTCGTATCCGGCCTCGCAACCGTACTGGGATACGGCTCCGGACCCAAGAACTTTCTCGACTGCGCAAATGCCCCGGGTGGCGAGTAGATCTTGATACTCTCGGTGCTAGGCTGACGCTGTCGCGGTGGAGTGACTGGCGCCGAAACGGGATTAGGCAAACTAGGTAGAGGCGGGACGTCCTTTTCTTTGTCTGGTCTTGTACTCGTGGGATTGAAGAGGCTGCGGACTCGACTTCCTGTGCGGGTTAGGCGGGATCGTGTTGATCGGCCACCGACTGAGTTTCGCGCTGAGGGGCGGAGGAGGAAGTCTGTTCGGTAGGAGGCGTCTTCTGAGGCCATGGGGCTGGATATTCCCATTACTGCGCCGCTTGATGTGCGTTGGGACCAGTGGGGGACGAATTTTTGGTCTTGGGTTTGGCTCTTTTTGTGGGCGCGGCGTCGGAGGCAGGTTGTTATTAGCAGGGCTAGGACGGCGCCGAAGATGGCGCCCGGGAAGAAGCCCGCTATGATTGCATTTGGTGGGAAGGAGTCACAGCTTGTTGATGCCGCGGGGGACGGCACGATGGTGAATGTTGCGCCTGTTGAGCCGGTTGAGGTGGATGGGGAGGCGGTTGTGGTTGATTTATCGGCGACGCAGACTTTGTCTGAGACGCAGGAGTAGCCGACTGGGCAGCAGGAGTCGGCGCATGTCTTGAGTTTGCTGTCTAGTTTGGTTGTCTTGACGGTACTCCTGGGGTATGTAGTGGCGTTTTGTTGTTGGATGTCGCAGGCGATGGGCGAGATGTAGTCACAACTTTGGCCGGACGGGCAGCAGATGGCTGTTGTGTTGTCGCTTGTGCCGACGCAGGTGGATGATGTCGGACACCAGAAGTTGTTAGGGAATGAAGTGCCACATTGGTTGTATGCGTTAGAGCAAGTGTCGGTGCTGCGTCCGAAAAGCTCGGGTGTATCAAGTGTGTGACCATAACTTGTTTGTAGGATGACCAGAAGTATAAGAAGAAGTGGTCGTTTGGGGACGATGCCCTCAGTCAACCCCGTCATGTCTTCGAGGCAGACTTGAGATGAGTTAGGATGTTGAAAGAGAGTTCCGTATGTTTGAGTCTCACAGGAGATATTAGACGTTGATAGAGGAGCAGCAGTAACAGTAGCCAAATTTCTCTTGGAGATGGAGATAAAAGAGGTATCGTGAACGGTGGAAGATAGTTGACGAAGTAGAAAACGAGCAGAACCATAGACAAGGGGATTGATTTCGGGCTCAGGCTGAAACGTGAACTAAATTGGGTGTTCAACACAAAGGGAGTGAATGGCATGGCGTTGGATGATTCACCGGTACAAAGAGATCTATTCCGGGCACTGGCACGCGCTGGACTGGGGCGGTCCAAGTTTCAGGGTGGGCGGCAGGACTCGAATGCAGAATGTCGGGCGCCAAAGCCAAAATTAGCGTTGCAGAATGACATGGTTGAGGTGCAGAATGAATGCAGGATTGTGAGAGGTTGAAATGTGCCGAGATGGGCGCTTAGAGAGGTGAAGTGGAGTGGTGTGGTTGTATACTTCAAGTTCCAAGTTCCCGTGACTGGTACCTAACCTTCAAGTTGGAACCAGGTACTCCAGTAGGTACCTAGGTCACTACTAGTATTCATTTAAATTATTCAGGTCAGTATTATACAGAATACCACAATTATTAATAAGTTACTAAGTAATAACTACCAGTCAATAGTAACTAAAGGCTAACACTATAGAAAGGAGGGCGGTCTGCCATTCGGAGTAGAGTGAGTGCCAAGATATTAGTCAGCCAGCGCGTCCAGTTTGGAAATTTCGAGGTCGGCGATTGTAAAGCATCTCCGTCTTCCAGCGCCATCATGTTTAGTCGTCTTGCCCGGCCAAGCGCTCTGCGCGCGGCTTCTTTCCAGGTATACTTTGCACAATTCCATCTGTTGATTCTCACCCAGCTAATCCGTGAACCTTGAACCTCTAGACACCTTCCTCTCTCCTCCGATCCCAGACCCGTGCCCTGCACCGCATCCCCCAATTGCAGCACGAGAACGTCTACAAGGAGAATGGTATCCCCGAATTCATGTCGCCTGAGGCATACGACTTTGCCTGGACCCAATACCAGACCCTCCTCGTTGATAAGCTCAACCTGTTGACACAAGGTGAGCCGAGCCGATCCCGCGGATAGGGTATCTTATGATAGCTTCATATCCGCGCAAACATACGACCCCAATGGATCATTAACTCTCCCCTTCTTCCGCAGACACCGTTGACGCCGATGCTAAGCCTGGAGAGTTGCTGGTCAAGTACTCCAAGCGCCCGGAGATGGCCTCGGTCTTCAACTACGCCTCCATGGCCCATAACAACCACTTCTTCTTCAACTGCCTCGTCAGTCCTCCTTCACTCCCAATCAACAGCCACCGGGAATAGAAAAAGAAAGGACCCAAACTAACCCTCATCCAATTCAGTCCCCCGCCTCCACCCAGATCCCCGAAAAATTCGCCAAGGACATCGTCGACACCTGCTCCTCCGTCGAATCCCTCAAGCTCGACTTCCTCGCAACCGCCAGCTCCATGTTCGGCCCGGGCTTCGTCTGGCTCGCCAAGAACCTCGAGCGCGAGGGCCTCATGCAGATCTTCTGCACCTACAACGCCGGCTCCCCCTACCCGGCCGCCTACTCCCGCCGCCAACCTGTCGACATGGCCACCCACTCCCCCGATGCCCCTCTCGGCAACCAGTTCGCCGGCTCGATGGGCGCCCACGCGCAAAACCAGAAGAACCTGGCCCCCGGCGCCATTGACGTCCAGCCCATCCTGTGCGTTAACACCTGGGAGCACGCGTGGATGATGGACTACGGTATTGCGGGTAAGGACGAGTACCTGGAGCGCTGGTGGGACCGCATCAACTGGGATGTTGTGTTTGATAACTACAATGCTGTTTCTTCGGTGAAGGGGGCCGCGTGCTTCGGCTACTCGGGCCCGCGGGTTGGGTATGCTTTGAGAGGAGCAAAAGCCGGTTTTTGTTTAGATAAATCTGTACTATACACATTATATTTCTCTGTTTGATCGACTTGAATTGTACACCTGCTAGTGAGCAGCGATCTGCATGACCCCATATCACTCCGTGTCTCCGAGTCTATTGTCACTCATCTCGGTTGGGAGCTACTAAGTGAACACCTCCTTTGGCTATCTGAACACCCTATCCTGTCTGTTGAGGAAAGGTGCTGTATTTGGATTACCACGGGGTCGGTGCTAATTAAAATATAGTAGTAGTACCTAGGTAGTTTATGCACACTTCCAAGGTTTCTGGCGACAAGGTGTGGTGCGGTAGATATGGCTAGTATAGGGTATAGTTAGCTTCTTCTAGTAGGATCTACCCGATCAGATGCCTACCTAGGTATCTACTCAGTCACTTAATCGAAGGTGAGAAAGTAGAATTATGGCCCCTAACTGTAGTTCGTGGTAACACACATACTTCGCATTTTCTAAATAGGCAAGATAAAGTGTTCAGATAGCCAAATGGGGTGTCCACTTAGTATTGCTTTCTCGATTGATGCTGGTCTAGTCTAATCTAGTAAGTAAGTATAGAGTCAAGCTCCCTCTAAAATAGTAATATACAAATGCCCGGCCCTGCACTCACAACAAGTCCATCACCGCCCATGCATCTCATGAATTCGCTTCTCAAAAGCCTCAATCATAACCCCAGCCATCTGTCCCTCAACAGCCCCCATAACAGTAGCATGCATCTGGCTGCGAAATTCAAACCGCACTTCCAGATTGACCTTCGTCTGCGGGAGACCACCCTTCGCATCAAGGGGAATCAATTCCCACCGCGTAGAGAGATATTCAAAGATCCCCTCGCTAGCTCCGGGGAAGAATCCACTCAATCCACCGCCACTGCTCCCACTGCCCTTCTCAGCACCGTATTTAGCACCGCTCCGCGCTTCAACGGTTAATTTTTCCACGTTACACTCCACGCGCGATGTGAATGTCTCGCTGAGAGGTCCGTAGCCGACGGTCAGGAATGCCTGCGTGGGATGACCTGTTTCGGGGTCGCGGGCTGTGACTGTCGACGCAGTGAGGAAGGGGAGGAATTGCGAGTATGATTCGACCGAGGAGATGACTTTGAAGAGGTTTGGTGGGGCGTAAGGAAGGGTTCGGGTTGCGGTTAAGACGCGCTTTGGGGAGTCGTTATTGCTTCCATTTGGGAGGAGGGAAGAGAGGGAAGGGAGGCCGAAGGTTCGTCGGGGTGTTTGTGTGAAGCATCTTGGTTGTGATGGGCGGAGTGAGTTTGTGGTAGAGGTGCGTTGTATTGTGCTGATGGTGCGCACTCCTTGGAGGGGTAGATTCAAGGATCTTGGTTTGAGGAGGTGGATCGCATGATCCAGGTTGCGGGTTGGTCGCATTGAGGAGAAGTGCAGTGGGTGAAGTTAATTGGGGTGTGTGGAGGAAAAGTGTTGGTTCAAGTTGAAGTTCCGATGGTGCTGCGGCGCGGCCCGTTCTGGTTTGGTCTGGTCGCATCAGGAACTACGCAGCGTGCATACGGTGGGAAGTATTTCATACTCTGTCATACTCTAGTAATATTCATTTATTTCTATATTGAAAATACTCGGACTAGCCCCTGGTATTCAACTAGACAAAGCTAACTCTCGGACTGATATGAAAGAAATTCATCTATAGTCGGAGGCACGGTGATATCTGGAACCCAGAGCATATCCTGATCAGATGGCCCAAAGCCAGATATCCTACTGTCATACAGGCGCTAACATGACAAGGTTAGCTATGTTGCGAAGTGTAGGGAAGTGTTTGAACGTGGAAAGTGCTTGACAGTGCAAGTAGTACTCACCCAGTCCATTTGTGCAGGCGTGTTAAGCATATCCTCAATCAGGCCAAGTGACGAGAGCGATGGCCCTTCGCTGGAGTAATATCCTGCAGTCGGCAGGTTGCCGTTACTGTCACCGTTGCTGGCTGCATATGTTTCGTGCTGTCGTGGGCCGACTGAAGCAGGCACTGGTTGGAATGCCAATTTATCTAAGCGCCGGGTTAGTTTGAGTTGGAGTAGATGTGTAACCAGCCCTGGAGGACTGGTAAATCAACTCACCATCAATCTGCATACTCTGGCCATTTGAGACCGAGCTGCCGCTGTGAGGAGGGCTGTTGCCTCTCACTCGGCCAAGCATGATCCTCAACGCATTGTACCCTCGTTGTGTATCAATAGACCGGTGACGGCCTTCTTTGAAAATTTGATATGTAGTCTCCAAGAGACGCAAAATGTCATCACATTCTTGTGGTTCCATGCGAGCTGTGTCGCGCTCGTTCTCTCGCGAAAGCTCCAAACACAGGATCATTGCCGAAAGCATGAAGTCGGTATTCTGGAGAGAGTTCATGAAGAATCGCTCTGCATAGAGCTGGCCACCTGGTAATGACTCCTGGTATACATCAGAATGATGACGCAATGTCTCGCGGGCCGCGTTCAGGCAGGTTTGGCGCGAGTATGCATATTTGCTGTTCGTCTCAGCCATATACCGGCGGTGCATAACTACCCGAGCCTTTTGATAAAGTAACTCTAGGGTATATCGTTTCATGATGAGCTCCGTCGTCTCGGAAAAACATTGATTGATCGGCTGGTATTTCAGGCAAATCGGCAGTAAATCACGCGCTTCTTCTAGCCGGCGATCAATAGCCAGAACCTCTTCGTAGGATACTTGCTCCCGTGAGTATGCCAAGTTAGTGATCTGTCCGAAGCACTTCATGAGGCGAGATTTGCCCCTTGTATACCCACACGCCGTCCATTCAGTACTGGGTCTCGAGGGTGGTAACTGAGCACTGTTTGCATCAAAGTCGGTGTCGTGGAGATTGGAAGGTAGTTCTGTGTCGTATTGCCAAGGTTGGATGGTCCGTGGAAGGCCGACCTGGAAAGAAATGAGGATATCCAGTTGACAAATGAGCTCCCAGAGGCGTCGCCGCATCTCGCCATCAAAAGTGGATATGCTAGGATAATGACTAGGATCTCGGTGGTATCCCATGCGCATAGCTAGGCGAATGAGGGTTCCGAAAAGGTAGGAGACCCCAATCTGTGCATCCTGGCTGCGGTAGAACTCGGAAAGACTGTAGAAAAAGAGAGCTTCTACCTTGTATCGGCCTGGGGCAAGGTAGTTTGCTTGCACCAGGCCCTGGGCGGCTCTTTTTCGGAAGACATTCCAAGCTGTCGATGGGTTCACCATATCCACGGGTAAAGGCTCTTCACTGCGATGATAATGAGATACCGAGAGAGTCAGCATGGCGTAAAGGTAAGATATCCACGTGAAGGACATGTCCTGGGGGGCTTCCCAGAACTTTGCATATTCCTTTCGGAAGGTCGGGATATGGACGGCAACTGTTTTTATCGTGAGCTATTGATCACGGGGAGATATTCTGGATTAAAAACCTCGGGAGAATAGGTAAATATGGGGAACTCACTCAGTGAAGGCTCTGATGTTTTCAAGAAACGAGATACTAGTCGATCCGTAATCTCACGGGACGGTATATCGAAGAGCAGCTCCTCCTTGGTGATAGGTCTACTCATTCCAAGTAGCAAGGTTGGGGAGGAATCCTCCTCTGGGTCTTCCTGTGCGCCTTCATCATCCGTTTCTTCATTGCCGTAGCCATCGATATATTCTTTAACCTCGTTGATCTAAGTTAAGGAAGTTAATACTACGACGAACTAGGATAACCAGAGGGCAACTGACCTCTTTCAGAATGGCGCGCCAATTTACGCTCTCGAAATAACTGGTACCCTCATCATTCACGATCAGCGTTCCCGTATCGTGAGGCGATCGGGTGTCATGGCCACTCATGGACGATGGAGTCTGATAGCTGGGCCCATTCGCATCGGCATCCGCGACTGGCGGTTCAGCATTAAAATCGGGGACTTGATCGGAGATTAGATCGGGAGTCTGCTTCTGCTTCTGGGCTAGGGACATAACCAAGTTCTCCAAATGCTGAAGACGGTCCTGCACGAGGGTCGGACTGGACTGGCCATGCTGAGGTTTGCCCCGCGGTCCGCGACCGACAAACGTACAGCCGGCAGAGTCCCCGCGCTTCTTGCAGTTGTTACAAGGATAAATCCGATCGCATTTTAGTCTGCAGAAGTGAGTTAGATAATAATCTGTGAGCGAGAAAGGCTTGACCGACTTGCGATATCTGCACGCGGTGCACGAGAACTGAACCCGCGTTCTCTTCTTCGGACCCTCCCCACTCAGCGGGTCCGGGGGTAAGTCGCCTCGGACATAAGGAGCCTCGGAGTAGACTAGGCTAGTCGGCCAAGAATGGATGCAGGAACGAAGTTGGATTGAAGATTGGGCCCTCCGCATAAATCGGAGAGGTTGAGGGGTGAGTGGGGAAGGGGAAATTGAAGAGGAGAAAGAATTGGGGCCGTTCGGACTCCGCGGTTGACTTGGTTAACTCCGACAGGCCTGGAATAGAACAAAATAGAATGTTCGGGCCTCAATGCAAATGATAGGACAGTGCAAGATACTAAACTTTAGTTTCTTCTTTGGGAACCAAAATCGGCCTTAATGCATCCATGCATGATGTGCAGTAGATCATACGTACTAAGCAGCGTGACCTCATGCTAGTGGTACCTATCCCCGAATTCCAAGGATAATCAACATTTGTAGCCTTCAATAAGCTTTCAAATCAGACAGGTATGCGGGGAACTCTTGGCATGTCTATATGGGTGGGTATTTCTATTATAAATAACCTTGGAACTTGAAGTGTTCACTTCGGAGATATCATGATGTGATACAGAAAGAAGCGGCTAACTTGCTTATATCTACTGTTCAAAGGTCCAAGTTTAACTTGAATCCCTCGAGAAACCTCGAAACAATCCAATACGTACTAGTAATGCGGTCTTCTTTTATTACTATTCTTGCTTTCGCTAGCGCAGTGTTATCTGCACCAGCCATTGGGGAAGAAAAGAGGCCTGCAGTAGTAAGATGCTTTGCTGATACAGAATGGTCAACAGCAGCTAACAAGAAGACAGATTGCTAGTGGAGCGGCATGTCTACCAGATGGGAGTATGGGTTTCTGTCATAGTAAATTATGCTTGGTAATTCGTGAGTCCTAACGAGTTTCAAGACGCAGGCTAACTTGAATCCGCACTAGAAAACACCCAAGCAGGCGACGGGAACCTGTCAATAAGGTGTATTGGTCTTTTCTTGAAAAAACCACAGAGGAGAAACCGAAGGACTGCATGAAACAGAATTTATGAATGAAGATGAATTTGAAAGTTATCTCTTTTGTCAGATTAAGTCGACTACCTCCTAGGCTGGCTTCAAGTTGCGGTTGAGTTATTTCGAACTTGAAGTTGATCAAACTTATACCCAGTACAATTGAGACCTTTGATTTATCGAAATACTCTAAGAATATGTCGCTGAAGTAATGGATAGACAGCATTGTGAGTATCACTTGGAAAATTACACTTCGTGGTATCCTACCACTATCCCACCGGTATCCTACTCAGCTATATACCCAGGTACCTCATAGTAAGTAAGTAGTACTTGGTAGTAGATAGCCAGTATTAGAGGTGCCTCAAGATACAAGCTACAATCTATAATCTAGTACACAAGCCAGAATTACTAGCAGTATGAGCAGCTTATGCAAGACCTTACAAAGAACTTTGTGTGATAACAGAAAGCGAAAGTAATCAGATTGAGAGGAGAAGAAAAAGAGACAGAAGAAATTAGATACAGGCGTAGGCGTGAATACCTGAGTGGATGCCATCCAGTTCGTGACTGCCAGGGAACGTCATGAAGTCCAAAACGTTCTACGATTAAAAATAAAAATAAAATGAGAGCAAGAAACCCCCAAGAACCCTCCAATAATTCCAAAGCTTATCACATGAGTGCAACAGGGGAGGGCGGCCTGTGCGAGAAGAAGAGGAGAGTGAAACCACCATCCCGGTCATGCCCGGGGCAGGTGGGAGAGACAAATGGGAATCAAACAAAAAGAAAACCAAATAGATCAGGCCGAAGAGACGGCCTGGTGGTTGATAGAGTATTCTCCTATACCTTATTCCCCTCCTTATCCTCATTTGCCTTCTTCTTTGCCTTCTTCTCTTTCTCGGTCTCTATAGACACATCTCGATGTTAGTATACTAGTAGGGATATCGTCTCCAACGTATAGATCAAGGACTTACCCCCAGCCCAGATGGAAAGCCACACAAAAAAACCAACAATGGCCAGCCAGCCAGTTGGGGATTCGGCGGCGGCGGCAGCATCAGCCTCTTGCAGGCGGCAGGCCCTCGCGGGGTTCCGGATGGCGGCCAAGCGCACAAGGTGCGGCTATTTTGAGATACAGTTAGCTTTGTCAAAATCATAAAGGTGTGGGGACTAAGATTTAGGGTCGGGACTCGGAGAGAATCATATACCTGGGCAGTGATGGAAGGTGCAGTTTAAATGGTAATAGATATAATATTGAGATAGATAGTAATGTCTAAATGAAGGTAAAAATGGGGATATTCTGGGTCAATGTACTTACCGGGCCAGGAGCACAATAACAGAGATGAGGAGGGCGATGGCGACCAGAGAAAATGCGTACGCGTCTGTTTGCACCTTCATCTTCTATCTGTTGGGGAAGGTCAGGTCCGGTGGCGCTCATGGTCATGGTGGTGGTACTCGAGTTAACTGTTGCGTTTCCGGACACAATGAGCAAACATACGGGACGACATGATATAAGCGTGAAGAAAAACTTAAAATTGGATAGCCCTGCGTTCACAGCCTCACCAGCTCACTGGCGGATGGCATGCCCAGGTGAGGAGTGGGAAAAATGGCAGAGTATCGTAGGCAACGACAACTTGAATTATATATTGGTAGCCACGACAAGAGACATCCTCAGATCAACTCAAAGGCATGACACCTGATTGGCTGGCCCAGACCTGGTTTAAATCGGAATTATTCTCTCTGATCTTCCATCATTCTCTGGTTCAAACTATTTCAACTCCATACCTAAGTTTATTTTTGCTTCAAGGAATATCAAGGCACTTCTACTTTGATTTTGATCTACAAATTGTGGGTACTATCAAAATGTGAATTCATCTTAGGGTTTTAGTTCCAAATCAGCCACAATGGTGGCAACGCATTGAGCCAGACCACTCAAAGGCGCTAAGATAAAAACTCCCTCTTGGCCACGTTGCTTCCAAAATCCATCACGTTCCTCAAGATACCATTTGCAGGACCGAGCCGGAAAAGGATTGCTGAAGAGGCAAAACTCCGCAGCACTCGTCTTGTTGTTGTACCAGTGCGCGTACTCATCGACAAAGGAGTCCGGGAGTAAACCGGCGAAGACTCGACGAGGGATATAGTCGTAGCACGACTTTTCATTCTATAGGCGGAGGAGCAAGTCTTGCCTTTCCCTTCCAAAGTGGACTGTGTAGCCGTGGAGGAGCTGGGCTGTGCAGAAGACCATGCCCGAGCTCGTGCTTGGCATAACGTTGTGTGAAAGATCACCGAATATTCTCTCATATTCATGATGGGTTTCGTAGTCCGCAGGTAGACGAGAAAGAGGTAGGTCGTTAACAAGTAGCTCTCCAGTCATTATGTTAAGGTGCACCTTGAGATGGTCTATTGTCGTTTGGTACCAACACCTCATCCCGGTAGAGAGGGTCCAAGATGCGGTGGATTTGAAGTACCGCCAGCGTTGCTCAACGGCATCAGAAAGAAATGAGCCACCGGAGGCAATCTGCTCGTTCATGATGGGTCGGGCCCGATACATGGTGCGCCGCCATCTGTCAAGAACAACATGCAGAAAGATCTTGTCGTCACCAGTCTTCAATGAAAGATTCTCATGGACTATGATAGAGCATTCGAATATAATAGCTGCCTGTTGAGAACTGACCAAGATCTGACGCAGAAAGCCATCGTCAAGTTGAATGAATCAATGCAGATCAATGCAATGCTCGAAGCCGTTTCCAGGAATTCCCTCCTCTGCACGTCATCGCTCATCTCCTCCACTCGCTCGAGGAGTGCCTTTACCCACCTGTAGGAAGTCTCCCGGCACTGCTCGAGAAGATTCAGGAAAGGCTGTAACAGGTCCCTGGAAACCAGTGACAAAAGTCGCGTAGTCAGGAAAGTGAAGGACCACAAGACAGTGTAAGACTCCAAATTCGCCTGCACACGCAAGACGCAGCCAGTTAGGCTCTCCAGAATCTTCCGCGCAAATAACTCATCGCATGGTCGCGAGTAGGTGGATCGGGTGACTAATGATGACTCTGGGCCGGCTTGCAGGCTCATCTGGAGCAGAAACATGGCCGTTTCGCGTCTATTTCAATCGATGTTCGGCATGGCCAGCTCCGTTAAAATGTTCAACCACTGAATCTTATGCCCATACGCCATACCAGTAAGTGCCTTGAACTCTCTCAAGGGCATCCACTCAGGGCACTCGAATTGGCTGACAATTACCTCATTCGGTGTCTGGTCATCAGGGTTTCTCCAGTTGCGACGAAGGAATTGATCCAGTGCATGGGCTCTCTTGGGGAGTTCAAAGACACACAGCTCAGATAAGTCGTCGGTCAATGCCTCGTAGTACTGGTACATAACTCCGCTGCTCAGGCAGACGTCCGACTCAACCGCTTGCCCGACAGGCAATGCCCGTCAATGGATGACAGCGTTGGGCTTGGTTTCTGATTGCAGATGAATGCGGAAACTCGGTTTGGTTGCATTCCAGGGCTTAAGAGGTTGATATGACTTTAAAGAGTAGGTGGTCCGTGGAGTTGATGGATTTCTAGGTCGGCACAGGAGGACGTCATTGATCAAGTACACTGTCAGGTCTCTCCACTGCGAGAAAGTCACAGGAGCAGCCATCTCAAAAACGGTAGCCTGCGCAGCGAGTTCGTGTTGCGGCAGGGGCCATTCGTTCACAAAAACCGCAAGGGAGTTGGCCTTTGATTCGAAGCCGCACCTTCGGCATGAAGACGGATGAATGTAGACCATCCCTCCTGCGTCCCGCTTGGTAGATACATCGCATTCGCTCTCTGCGTGCTTCTGCATCAGCTTGACATACTCCGTCTTGGCTTTGCGAAACTCATCGCGTTTCTCCTGTCTCTTAGCCGCGGCGTCTGCCTCAATCTCATACTTGAGCTGCTGGAGCTGAGTCGAGTTGCGAAAGAATTTGACAGCGAAGGAGCCGGGCGAGCCAAATGAGCCAAGAATATAAGGCTTATCCGCTTTGTCTGCAAATGGGACGCGATCCCGGATGTAGATTTCAAGACGTTGAAGCCTCCTCATGTCCCGCATTGAACCAAGTAAGAGCGATTGCCACAGGACGGCTGGAATCGGTGGATTGTAATCTGCCAAAAGGGGAAGCTCTTGAATGGTGGCTACGTCTGCGGCATACCAGAGTTCTAAGATAGTGAGAATCATTCGTGAAGCTCCCTCGGGGCGTCCGGAGTAGTAGCTAGCTGCCTTGGCGTGGTATGCCTCGATCAAATATCCCAAACCCTTCACCGGATTATCTGCTTTGCTTATATGGTAATCGATCCATGTTTGAAGGTTCTCTGCCACCGACGACTCAATCTCGAGGAGCTTGAAAGGCGTGTAATCCTCACTCCAGTATCTAACGGATGGCAACTGGTTCTGGGGCAAGGAGTTGAGTTCTGAAGTCGGACGAAACCTGGATTCGAGAACCGCCGCTTTTCGCTGAGCTATCGACTTGATGAAAGCTTCCGTATCGCTAAGGGAGAAGGTGATATTATCCTCAATCTTGAACTTGGATAGTTCATTCAGGCTCAATGGCGGTCCAGCTTGTTCCATGATATACCTCCATCGCTTATGCAGAATCTCTGAAGTTTTTGAGACGATATGTTGGATATTAACCAGCTAAGGCCCATCGTTTGGTCTCTTGAGCTTGTAGAGACGACGTGAAACCTTATTCAACATAGTTTGAAGGATGTCGCTGGAAACCTTCTGGTGGTCATTGGCAGCGTGAAGAGCTTGAGCCATGAGAAATGCCTTGAACTCCTTGTAGGTATTTCTTCCAGTCGCAGAAAGTCGTGTGATAGACAACTGCAGGGCTACTCGAATTAGAAGCCAAGCCGAAGAGCGACGCCAAGGAAATTTGCTGTCTTTCCATATCACATCATCGCGGGTGTTTTTACAGATTTTGTCCACAGCAACTTCCTTACCGCATCCGCGGAGGATGCTTGCAAGGAGTTCGGTAACAATCATCGGGTCAGATGTCTCGTTGTTGTCCTCTTTCTCTTGCTTGTATTTCTTGGTCACCTGCTTCGTCTCTCTTACAGTTTGCTGGCTCATCTTGGTGAGAGTTTTGGTCATGACTACCTGAAAGTCTTAGCTTTCGAAATCAGCGGCTGTGACTTCCACTGCAGTTGCCGGGAAATGGCGCACGAGCCGTCCTCGTATGGACACCACAGCCTCGTTTCTTGGTGATAGCTCAAAAACCTCAAAGCACACCGTGTCCGCGTTTCTGCTGATAAAAACACCAGCATTTTGTTCTGTGATTTGTAGTGCTGCTACAGGTGCTGTAAAACATTGGTAAGCTTTCCTCCTGTGAGCCAAACAAATTCAAAAAGCGTTTTAGCTCCTTCAGAATATCTCGGACAACAACTTCCCTCAGGTATCCTTGAGGGTTCCTCGATGTCCTTAAGGACTTCAGTATCGAGATACCTGCCTTCACCGCGTCCTGATCATGGTGTTCGGGGAGAAAACGCCGCAATGACTGCTGCACAAATTCCAAAAGGGTTGTGTCGTTCTTTTGAGAGGTGTCGTCTGCACCCGGAAGTTTTGGAGGCAGGAACAAATGGTGGTAGATGTATCCGAAGCTTGTCCTCGACACGTCTTCAAGTTTTCCACCGTTGGGGGCCATGATAAAAGGAACAGTGCCTGGGCGCGTTGCTCTGGTAAATGGCAAAGAGAATAAGTGGTAAATAAGTGGAGGATGGAAGGAGAGAAGATGAAAAGGGTGGAAGTAGTGTCTGGTTATTATTTTTATGCAAACTCGCTTACACAGATAATGCGGAGGTAGGAGCACTCGGTGAGCAAGCAACAAGGACAGATGTGCCCTTTGTGTATCCCTTTACTCGGGGGGCGACTGTACCGAGCCCGAACCACACCCATCTCAGCCCCACAAAGGTTTCGTCTATCAGATTCTAGAGCTGGCGTACCCTTACGAATGGTAACAACAGCCAGAATGCTTGGCACTCTATTGGTAATCGTATTATCTCATAGCTAGTTATATATGTTGTCCAGGTATTCTAAATTGAGCAGGCTGATACCATTTTTCCATGCATTACTACTTTTTCCCATAATGATCGATTTCAGGTCGCGAAAGATTCTAATCTACCGACCGTAACGTGGCATCGAGGGATAACTTGCGGGATCGACAGGCACCGCACTGACTATGAGTTATCTAACAATGGTGATAAAGGGTTAGGAGCCCAGATCAATGACAAACACCTCGCGGCATCGGCGGATTCCGATTGGTCGAGGATACGGCCTCAGGAACATCGAATCCACCGAGAAGATGCGTAACCTCCATGACGAGGACGCAAAAGTAGAAACTGCTTAGGTCCCTTGGGAGATAGACGCTGGCGAGGTTGAGGCGTCGAGACAGGGTCCCCAAGTATCCATAGAGGCCAAGATTAAGGTCCAATACTACTAAGATCATCCATTGGCCACATGGAATGGCCCTAATCCGAAAGGAGACCCCGCATGAAAAGGAAAACCAAACGGGCAAAAAAAAAAAAGGCAGCATGACTTAGCAAATCATCCATGATCTATTAGTTAGTTTACTATAGGTTCTGGATCCTTACATCCATGGATGGCTCCGCTGATCCACGATCGTGAGTGGGGCCGGAGCCCGTGAAATCCGCAGCGGAGGCCGTACATCGCGGCCCCGAAATGAGAGATGTTCCCTGTTCTTTACTAACCGTAAGTATATAAACCCAAAATGACGCCCTTAATGCCAGAACACCTCAAGAGTTGTCCTTCGGTCTCTACATGCTTAGCAATCCTCTAGAGCTACCTCATGGATACCAAAGCGATTGAAAGCGAAAAGGGGGCGATAACATCGCCGACTCCAGTCAAGCCCGAGGGCTCGTTCTCCACCTACAAGCGAATCTTCCGGTATTCCGGGCCTTTCGAGCTCTCGCTACAGATCATTGCATGCGTCGCAGCTGTTGCTTCTGGTTCCGGCATCGCTTTCCAACCTCTTATCTTAGGCCAGTTTGTCACCAGCATCACCGACTTCACATCATCGCAATCCTCTCCATCCCAACTTCGCTCGGAAGCGTCAGAGCTCGCTCTGTACTTTGTATACCTCGGTATTGCCCGCTTCGTCCTCTCTTATATCTACAACACACTTTTCACCCACACCGCTCACGTCATTACTCGGAACATTCGACATGAGTATCTCAAGTCAGCTCTTGGTCAGGAAGTGGCATTCTTTGATGCTGGAACTGGAGGTTCGATCGCAACCCAAGCGACCTCCAATGGGCGCATGATCCAGGGTGGGATAAGTGAGAAGTTTGGTCTTGCTTTGCAGGGCATTGCGGCATTCATCACAGCGTTCATAATCGCCTTCGTCGTGCAGTGGAAACTGACCCTGATATGCCTCTGCATTGCACCAGCGACGATGATCGTCAATGGTATTGCGGGAGGCTTTATGGGAGTTTATGAGAATCAGATTCTCGAGATCAACGCGAAGGCTAATCACTTTGCAGAAAGCGTTCTCTCCAGCGTGCGGACTACACATGCGTTTGAAATTCGGGATAGGCTTGTTGACAGATTTGACGAGCACCTATCTAGTGCTCATAAGATTGGCAGCAAACTTTCAATAATTTTCGGCACGTTTTTCTCTGCCGAATACTGTATTGTCTATTTAGGCTACGGTTTGGCCTTCTGGCAAGGTATTCGCATGTTTTCTAGGGAAGAGATTGGGGAACCGGGGGGTATCTTTACGTGAGTTTCTTTATTTAACCAAAAGTAGATAGGGCTTTTTGTTAACAGTCCAGTGTCGTCATGTCGGTCATCATCGCTGCTACGCAGCTGACCATGCTTACCCCTTACATGGTCGACTTCACTCGCTCCACCACTGCGGCATCTACGCTGTTTAGTTTGATGGATCGCAAGTCTGAAATTGATCCGTATGATACAAACGGCCATCAGCCATCAGAGGTTGTAGGAGATATTGAGTTCACCGATGTTACGTTTGCGTACCCCACTCGGCCTGAGGTGAACGTCCTTGACAAGTTCTCCATGCGAGTCCAGGCTGGCAAGGTCACTGCTCTGGTGGTGAGTTAATCATGAAGTCGTTATGGCCGTGTTTGAAGCTGAAATATTTACAGGGTCAATCTGGCTCAGGAAAGAGTACAATTGTCGGCATCCTCGAGCGTTGGTATAACCCTGCGGCAGGAACCATCAAATTAGATGGCCATCCACTCAACGAGTTGAATCTCAGCTGGCTCCGGAAAAATGTCCATCTCGTCCAGCAAGAGCCAATCCTCTTCCAGGGTACTGTGTTTGACAACATCAATCAAGGACTTGTTGGCACAAAGTGGGAAGATGCCCCTAGGGATCAGCAAATGGAACGAATCCAAGACGCTGCTACCATGGCCTCTGCACATGACTTTATTATGGACCTCCCGAATGGTTACGATACTAACATAGGCCAACGTGGTGGCCTTTTGTCAGGTGGTCAAAAGCAGCGAATTGCTATCGCTCGAAGTATTGTCTCTCAGCCTAAGGTTCTTCTCCTAGATGAGGCTACTAGTGCTCTAGATCCGCATGCCGAAGGTGTTGTTCAAAAGGCCCTGGATAAAGCTACAGAAGGTCGGACTACGATTGTCATTGCACACAAGCTTGCGACCATCCGAAAGGCCGATAACATTATTGTTATGGAAAAGGGTTGCATTGTTGAGCAGGGAACACACGATTCTTTGCTTGCACGTGGCGCTAAATACGCTCAACTTGTGAGAGCACAAGACTTGGCTGTGTCGAGCCAATCAGAGCCAGAGTTTGAGCCCGGATCTGACAACGACGAGAAAGTGGATATCGTAAATAAACCTTCAGTCCCAGCATCATACAGCTCCGTCGACAAATTCAATGGAAACATACCGCGGAATGACTATGCCGATTACGACAAATGCAAGCAACGAAACATCATTTTTATCATCTATCGTCTCCTCCGAGAAACCCCCGAGATTCGCTACGTGTACTATTTGGTATTTGCTGGATGTCTAGTTGGTGGTAAGTGAGCGAAAGTGATCGCCTGCCATTCGTTCCCTTTTAATAACAAAAATAGGAGCGACCTTCCCGGGCCAAGCGGTTCTTCTCTCTAGTGTGATTGAGATCTTCACCCTGCCAACGATTGAATTGGAACACAGGGGCAACTTCCTCGCAACCATGTTTATCGTTTTCGCTGCTGGCTGTCTTATATCCTACTTCATTCTCGGCTACGCAACCAATACTGTCGCCCAGCATCTAGGTCACAAATTCCGGAAACAATGCCTCCATGACATCCTCCACCAAGATATTGAATTCTTCGATCGTGATGAGAATAGCACTGGTGCACTGGTTGCGCGCGTGGATTCAAACCCACAGGCTATCCTCGAACTGATGGGGTACAACATTGGTCTTGTATTGATCGCTGCCTTGAATGTTCTCGCATGTGCAGTATTGGCACTCGTTTACTCATGGAAACTTGGTCTGGTGGTCACATGTGCGGGTCTTACTTCGTTGGTCGGTTCAGGGTATCTGAAGATCAGGCTGGATGCGAAGCTTGATCGGGATACTTCCAAGCGCTATTCAGTTAGCGCGTCTATTGCGTCAGAGGCCGTTACTTCCATTCGCACGATTTCGTCCCTTGGTATAGAGCATTGTGTGTTGGAAAGATACACGAGAGAGCTAGATGAAGCGATTGCTGAGTTGAAGCGTCCGCTGTTTGCGATAATGGCGAGCTTTTCCTTTACACAATCTGCCGAATACTGGTTCCTGGCACTTGGCTTCTGGTATGGATGTCGGCTGCTGTCGTTTGGTGAGATTACCATTTACGCATTCTTTGTCGCCTTTCTGGGGGTGTTCTTCTCCGCGCAGAGTGCATCTCAGCTCTTCCAGTTTTCTAGTAGCATCACGAATGGTGTCAACGCTGCAAACTATCTCTTCTGGCTGAATGATCTTCAGAAAACAGTGCAGGAGAGAGATGGTAGTCGTGAACAGGGCCCTGGTGCAGTGCATACCCTTGATCTGGACAAGGTCAAGTTCTCCTATCCTTGTCGACCCGAAATTCCTATTCTGAAAGGCCTTGATCTCAGCGTATGTTACCCTCCCCGGTCTCGCGAATGGAAACTAAACCCACCCAGGTTAAGAAAGGCCAATTTATAGCCCTCGTCGGCTCATCTGGATGTGGCAAATCAACTATCATAGCTCTCCTGGAAAGGTTCTACGATCCATCCTCAGGGCAGATAACACTCAATTCCTCACCTCTACCAAGTCTCAGCCCACGCCTCTATCGCAAGGTTGTCTCCCTCGTGCAACAGCAACCAGACCTCTTCACAATCTCCATACGCGAAAACGTCGCATTGGGTCTCGGATGTGATTCCCGGGGTGATCTCGATGTGGCAGACAGTCAAATAGAGTCTGCCCTTCGAGTGGCTAATGCATGGGAATTTGTTATGTCTCTCCCTGATGGCTTAGCTACGCTGGTTGGGTTTGGCGGATCACAGCTTTCAGGTGGTCAAAGGCAGCGTATTGCAATCGCGAGAGCGCTGATCCGTGATCCAAAGATTCTTCTTCTGGACGAGGCTACTAGCGCACTTGATACCGAGAGTGAGCGGGTTGTGCAAGCGGGGATTGCTACAGCGAGGGATG